TTACGTGCATTTTGACTCATGGTGATGCCGTGTGTGTCAGAGTAAAGCTGGTCATAGGGTTTTCAAGGCTGTGACATTTTGGAAGCAGTACATCAGGCATGTCTTACGATGCACTCCTGGGTGGATTTGAACTGCCAATTTTTGGGCTAGTAGTCAAGTGCTTAGCAATTTGCATCATCCAGGGACTCCGGAGTATAGACTTATAGTGAGTTTTCGAATGCTTACTTCTGTATTTATATTTAACTTTAAGTAATGAAAGAATCTAAAATCTAATACAACTAAATACGAACAGCCAGATTAAAACTGTAGGAGAGAAAAATGGCTGGGGTGTTTCTGAATTACCTAGCTTCATGTGGAAAATACTAATAAAAGGAAAAGTAAAGTATAGTAGTACTAAAATGTCATACATACTGACAGTAAAAACAGTAGTGTCTGAAACAATTATTTAGTAAGAACCACATGCTTATTCTGAGAAACGGTCGGGTTGTGAATAGTCATTTTTGAATGGCCACAGTCACTATTAACATCTCATGGATTTGCAGACACTACACCAAAACAATAGAGCCAGGTTTAATCTCACTTTGATCAATTGCCAAGAATGGCCCTGAAATGCACATAAAAGGGAAGTGTGAGTCATTTTTTTCTCTGTCAAAGAGATGCCTGTTTAATTATACAGTATCTTGGTGACCTAATATTGTTAGAGTATATTCATTTGACTATCTCCCTCACAATGGCTCAACATTTTAGATAATTGCCTTCTTTTTGGTCACATGGTACTACACTCACTATCCCAACTGAGAAGCTGTCAGTCACAGCTGAATGCATTCATCAGAAATGAAAATAACAGGCAATAGTTGAACTTTGGTGGGTATGAAAGGCAAATTATTTGCACCCCAAATTCTACCCAAGGGGATGTGTGTGGCAGGGAAGACATGTGGACCAACCATATCAGCAGAAGGCTTCTAACCAATTCATTCTGGTTCAACCCATACAAAATGAAGCTTCTAGTTCACTGTATCTGGGGTGGAAAGGCAGACTCTCAGCAGTGGGTCAGACCACAAGGAACCACCACCTCCTTGCTGGCCCTTTGGTGACTTCTTTTGTCCTTCACAGATGGCCTGCATACTCTCTTTAATTTATTACAACTATTAAAAAACTGGGGGGAGGCAGGACTACATGACACTATTTGCCCCAGGGGGATCCATTTCTCAGAAGGTACAACGTTGCTCTCTTCACTAGATTAATACAGCAGGTACTTTGGAAGACATATCATTGTTAAGAGCAGAGCACAGATCCCACAACAGCACACCCTAAATAGGACCCTTGAGACCTGAAAAAGTTAAACATGGAAGGAGAGCGAGGGGTAGAACTGAGTGCAACAAATGCTAATTAAATCAATGTTAATCATACGTGAAGTATTTACTCTTTAAAGAATAGCTGGCTGTATCTGGGAGGGTGCAACCATAAAGCAGCCCTGCAAATCAGTTTCTTTACTCCAAACAAAGAGAAGATTTTCCCCCTCCCTTTTAAAATTTAAAATGGAAATTAAAATTACAATTTTTTTTTGAGGAATTTAATAAATTAAATTTTTTTACATTTAGTATTCAAAACATGGAGTTCTGTGTGACCCTGCAGGATAATGCACTGGACCACAGGTCAGTTTGAACTGTAAAGTTGGCAGTTCAAATCCACCAGCTGCTCCTTGAAAACCCTATAGTGGGTTGCTATGAGTCAGACTCAATTCGATGGCATTTAACAACAACTCAAAATATGTATTTTAATGACCACTGTCCTCAACAGCACTGTATTGATTTCATTTTCTTCTTAAACCTAAATTATTCTGCCCAGAGAAACTAAAATTCCATTTCCTTGAATCAGATAAAGAGCAGATATACTGCACCTATTTTAGCAACTGGAATTTCCAGTAAAGGAAAAACTCAAATGGAATGCATCAAGATGGTCACAAACAAGGTTACAAACACTACATTTTCTGCTTTCTAATAGGTAATCTACACATACCACAGAAATCATTCATTTCAAAATGGGCCCAAAATAGGTTAGCCCTGGCCATACAACTCTGGAGATTCAGAGCTACTGAGAAATGAACCAGCACTATGAGAGATGTTCACTACAAGACCTTCACAGACATAACAGAACATTTATTAACTCTGTTGTCATAACTATGTATGTATGTAATTTTAATGAGCTGGGTGGGGCCTACTCTTCCAGGTAAATTTTTCATTGTTTTTAAGGCTTTTTTTTTCAAGTCAAGCACTATTTCAAGGAACCCTGATAGCACAGTGGATTATGAGCTGGACTGCTAACCACAAGGTCAGTAGTTCAAATCTACCAGCTGCTCTGTGGGAGACAGACAAGGCTTTCTGCTCCCATAAAAATCTACAGCCTTGGAAACCCTATACAGAATCACATGAGTCGGTACCAACTCTAGGACCCACATTCACCACTACCACTATGTTATTTAAAAACTGGGGGGAGGCAGGCAAACTGCTGATCTGAAAGACCTGAAACATAACATCAATTTGATCCAATATCTGAAAAGGAAGATATTAATATGTCTTCCTCTTAGAAGCAAAAGGCAAGAGGGAAAGAAAGAAGATTCAAAAGAGTCACTTACAAAGCAAATTTATGATAGCAGAAGTTAGAATAGTGGTTAACTCTTGGCAAGGTGGGAGGTAATGCTGACTGGGAAGGGACACAAGATAACGTTATGAAAATGGAAATCTTCTGTATTTTGATCTTGGTGGTAGTTACATGGGTGTAGACATGAGTAAAAATTCACTAAAGTATATCTTAGATTTATTATATGTAAGCCACATCTCAATTTGAACAGTAAAGGCATCCAATACTAGTAATGCACTGCAACTAGAAATCAAGGCTAAGAATCATAAAATAAAATATGTTACGGGAAAAAAAATTGACCTTTCACAGCACCTACACAGAGCAGATTGTTTTTAAAGTATTTATGGTAACAGTTTAGTAGAAACACTCTAGCCGGTTCATGAGAACTCTCTGACCCTAATAAAAATGTCAAATGTGACCATTTTTCTGAATATGCTAAGTATAGATAGTTTTAAATCTATGAAACAGCCTTCAAAATCTATAAAATAGATTTCAAAAAGAAATCAAAGATCTGGAAAGTTATGTCTCAAAACACAAAGAAAACACACTTAAGCCTGAATGCAGAGTTAGGGCTCTCTCAAGATGAAGACAACACTCCATTCTCAACAGTTAACAATCACTGGTAGTACAAGTGTCAGTGGTCTTCTAGCAATAAGCAAGATAAAAAACTGAATACCCAATAAAGTCAGAAAACTGCTCCAATCCTGCATGATGATGCTATGTCTTCTGAATGATACTCTGTTCTGTTCAGTAATCCAGTAGCTATGGAGACCAAAAGCAACCAACAGTTTTCAAACATCACACATCACATGGATGATATTGTCAGAAGAACAGATCTGAAGATCAAGAATGGCTGCATGCATGGTAAATCTGGTCAGACAATATTAGTCTCCAGATCCTAGTCTCTCCTTGAACCTACCCACCTCCAACACACACACACACAATTTCAACTGCAGTTTTCAGTTAGAAACGTTATAGGGCTCCTTTTCCCTTAGTATATAAATACTTTTGTTCTTACCTAAGTTCCTATAATAAGCAAAATTCCATGACTGAAATGAAAATGGAAGGTCTTAGACACTTGATAATCTCTTTCTATTTCTTAGATGACAAAGATTCCAAAAGTACCATTAAGTGGATTCGAAAATTTTGAAAATTGTTTGACAATAGTATTGTCACATGGCAAGTGGGGCATTAAATTTCACTGTTATTTTATCTTGACCTTGATTTGGCAGGGTGGTAGTTTCAGAGATGGGAAGCTTCCACAGTGAATCAACAAAAATAATTGACCCTTTAAAGAAGCCCATCAAGAAACAAAAGAGCTGAGAAATATTAGGGCTCTTGAAATGTTACTATTCTGGAATAATAAACAGCTATGCACAAATAGTCACACTGACAGATCAGGAGGGGGAAAAGGTCAAATTGTAACTTCATAAGAAATGTGGAATTTCCCTAAATCCTTGTCCTATTCTCCTCTCCCACTATGATGATACCTTGTAATTTTTAATGATCTAGGCCAGCAAATTGAGACTATTTAGAAATTCTGTCACATTTGCTTATAGATGTTAATACAATATTCTGCAGTGCCTGTACAAATGCCTTGATAGGTTAAATATATATATATACATATATATATATATTGCATCCAACATTAAATAATCCTCAATAATTTCAGTAGTTTACCAATATTTAAAGAGCAATTTCAGCTGCTGTCCAGCCCATCCCATTGTGCAAGGCCTGCTCTGCACCAAACCAATTTCATTGTATAAGTTTTAAGACAGATATGATGTTGCTGGGCTGTGATGCTAGCCAGCATATCAAAATCCTAGCTATTACATATAAAAACAATCCATCTCCAAAAATAAAGCTCATCTCTTATTCTTCTTTAATAAAACATCTACTCTTGGAGTTTGCGTAAAAATATGGAGCAAAGGTGTACAATGATATCTTCTTATTCTCCCTTTAGATAAAAATGTGAAGCTCTTCTTCCCTTTCTAATAAACACTATCATCTCAGATCCTCCCAGCATCTATTTTAGGGCTTAAGCACCATGACAGAACCCACAACAATAGATCAGTGACAGACCTGATCCCATCAATTAACGCATCTGGGAGGCTGCCTAGATTCCTGTCGTCTTCCCTCCCTCTTGGAGGCCTGATTTTGACCACATTGACATCCTGGCCTTAGGGATGAATAACCAGTTAAGGGGGAGTCCCTTCCTTGAGACCAGTTCTTTTGTGATTAGAGCCTAAATACAAATGCTGTTAATGACCTAAGGCAAAGTGATATGAACCCCAAGCCAATGAAACCATGACAGCAAGCACATTTCCAAATATCGAAGAAAGTGGGATGCATTTACTTACAGGAAGATTCAGTGCCAAACATGGCTGGCTCCAGATGCTGCTGTAAAAAAAAAATCAGAAGAAGAAAGAAAAAAAAAAAAAGGAAGAAACAGCGAGGAGAGAGTACTTGTGAGAGATGAGCCGGCTACTCAGCAGGGGTCATGAGGCCAGACAATGCAGTCCAAGCCGTGTCCAGCTGCCAGATTCTCCTCTCACGAGCTTCAGTTTTCTCCCGAGTGACAGAAAGGAAAGGTCTCCTATAGAACCGAAACCCGAAGAGCTGCTTGTGAAAAATCCAGTGAGCAAAGGCAGGCCGACGTGGCTCTCTCTGGGATGCAGTGAGGCAGGACTAGGGAGCAGCAGCTACAGCGGATACTGCAATCCCCAGCCCTGCTGTAGCAGTAAGACAATAGCAGGGCTTATGCATACACTGGATGACGTCAGGGACACTGCACAGACTGACTACGCTGCTTGAGCCACAAGCTCCAGGGGCTTCAGGGGAGGACTCCAGGGGAATTCCTTTGTCACAAAATGTGTAAGACCAAAAGCCACAGACCGTAGACATTCCCCTTCCTGAGTAGATCTCCATTCCTTGATAGCAGGTAGTAAAAGAGACCTCAAAGAAATTTAAATATTAGCCTATTTAAGCACTAAGCACAAAGATATCCTGCAGATTAGAGTTCTTGGTTTTATGCAGCAAGTAGAGCTTTCACAGTGGAGTTAATACTAGAAACAAGAAAAATCATCTATATTTAAAAACACTTAGAGATGAGTTCGCTGATATCTTCTCTAAGCTTATAGTAGACTGACTGGCAGGTCCAGGGAGGCACACTCAATTACAAATATGAAAGCAAGTATGCTATTACATACACATTCCATGCATATAAAAAATACAAATGTGATAACAAAACAAAAGTCAAATGTTTAGAGGGCTGCTTGGCTCATAATGAGCATTCAATGTCAGCAATTATTAGTTATTTTGCAACAATTATTCAAATGCCAACACCACAACTCTAGAAATACTTAAATATTTAAATATATATCTATTACCCCAATGCACTGGATTGAAAAGTCGGTTCGATCTGCCAGATTGGTGGTTCAAGCTCACCAGTCGCTCTTCGAAAACCCCATACAGTGTCACTATGGGTCAGAGTTAACTCAATGGCAATTAACAACAACAATCCTATTCTTTTGCCTTGATGATATTGATGGTGTGCTGTGGAGTCAGTTCCGACTCATAGCGACCCTGCTTAGGGTTTCTGAGGCTATAAATCTTTATAGGAGCAGAAAGCCTCATCTTTCTCCCGTGGAACAGCTGGTAGTTTCGAACTGCTGACCTTGAGGTTAGCAGTGCAACTCATAGCCACTATGCTACCAGAGCTCTGCTCCTTATTCTTTGGCCTTAATTCTCTTCATTTTTTTTGCCACAGGAGGACTGCTGTCATTTACCACAGTAACTCACTCATATTGAGGCTGTGTGCACATACTAGTTAGTATACACCTGCATATGAGGGGGCTTTGTGACCCACATGTTGTTGTTGTTGTTGTTGTTATGTTCCGTCGAGTCGGTTTCGACCCATAGCGACCCTGTATAGGGTTTCCGAGGGTGTAAATCTTTACGGGAGTAGAAAGCCTCATCTTTCTCCCGCGGAGCAGCTGGTAGTTTCGAACCGCTGACCTTAAGGTTCGCAGCCCGATTCGTAACAACTACGCTACCAGAGCATAGTTCCTTTAAATATGCATTCCCCAAAACAACCAAAGATATTTATACTTTGTCTATTAGCTCACTTGACAAATACAAGTCTTCCTGTATTAACTTCTTAGAAGTCTGATTTTGCAAATATATACTAGAAGTATGGAGGGTAGGCATTCTATTGAAAACATGCTTTGATTCGAATGCCTATTCATGGTAGGCAAAGAAAGAAGTTTTATTTTGCTTTGTTTTCATGTTTTTAAAATACTGAAATGCACAAAGATAAAGGACTCTTGGGAAAGTTGACATGTATTCATTCATTCAATCTTTATAACAATCCTAGAAAGCAGATATCATTACTATCACAGACAGGAAAATAATTTGCCAAGGTCACAAGTTGTTAAGTGCCATCAAATCGGTTCTGACTCATAGGGACCCTGTATAGGGTTTCAGAGGAGCAGCTAGTGAGTTTGAACCTTCTGACCTTGTGGTTCAAAATGACCTTGTGGTTCAGTGCTTATCTGACCTTGTGGTTCAAAACGACCTTGTGGCTCAGTGCTTATCCTACAGTGCCACACCAGGACTCCATAGGTAGCAAATAAGTCAGGATTCAAACCAGGTGTTCTGGTCCCAAAGCATATGCTCTTAACACTCTATTATAATGCCTCTTAGACTTCTGGTGTGGCACTGTAGAATCAGCACCAGTCTAGGAACTACAAGGTCGGCAGTTCAAAGCCACTAGCTGCTCCTCAGAAAGTTTATACAGGGTGGCTATGAGTTGGAACTGACTGGATGGCACTTAACTAATTTCTGTAATACCTCTTGAAAAAAATGAATAATGGACAACAATATTATATGAATTCAACAAAAATGAAGGAGGGGGAATCAATCGAAAATGTGGAGAAAAGGTTTATTGAAAAAGAGACAGACGGATGATAGAAAAAGCTAAAATTGACCAGAGAAAACTAAAATTGACATAAAAGGCTACACTGAAAATTGTAGGAATTAGACAAGAAAAATGCATCATTCCAAAAATAATCAGTCAGGTCAATAGTGCCAAGATATAACTGTAGCCACTGGAAATGGGCAATTTCATCTTATCCTCATATAATATTTATCTTAAATTACATACCAGATGTTGCAAATGAAAAAACACCCAATGGTGGATGAATATGGCCATCAGAAATATAAGACTAAAAGCAGAAAGAGAAAATATTTCTTGAGTAAAAGATCTCTATTTTCAAATAGCAGGCCATGGTCTATATATAATAATTACTTTGCTGACTCACTTTATGTAGCTCCTCTTTTCAACTCATACGTGTGGATATAAGAATAAGTTCAAGATTGCAATATTTTTCAAGAAGTCTACTTTTTAGCATACTGTAACAGGATAATTATATCACACATCTCAATTGCCAGCAAAACTGGACACAAATGACACCCTCTGACCCCTATGAAGGTTTGTGTGACCTCTGGAGGCCTGACATGTTCTGAATACTTTAGAAGTCTGGATCTGTAAAGGTGAAGACACGTCACTGACAAAAATGATTCCAACAATTTAGATGGCTCCAATTCTCTCTTCTAGTCAGCTGGCATGAACTAGGAGTGAGCATGCATTTCATTCCCAGCTCACGAAGGAAAATGTAATAAAGGAAAAATAAAGCTGATTTTATGACTCCACCTCTCAAAGAGTCAGATAAAACCAAAAACCAAACATTCTGAAGCCAAAGTGATCTTTGGATTATCCATCCTGTCTGATTATCTGTACCTGCAACCTTGCCCTTCCATTTCAGAGCACTGTTGATTCCAGGATAAAACCAGTAATGAAAGAAAAAAAAAAAAATTAACAAAATGATTCCATACTCAAACGAATTATTGTTAAATTAAAACGCTATTGGAAAAAAAATGGTGAAGATCTTCAAGCAAGTCAATAGTTACTTCTGAGTAAACCCCCATTCATATACTCAACAACTATTTCCTGGGAACCTATTCTGTACTCTATGGGTACTGTCAGGGACAAACCCCCATCCTTATGGAGTTTATGGCGTCTCTAGGGGTGGAAACAATTAAGCACTTGGCTGCAAACCAAAAGGTTACAGATTTGAGTCTAACCAGATGCCTTTAAAAGAGACATGATCTACTTTCAAAAAAAAGCAGTTATTGAAAACCCTATGGGACACAGTTCTACCTTGACATACATGGGGTTGCCATGATTTTGGATCAACTGGTTTAATTGGTTAACAAGCTGTTGTTGAGTTGGTCCCAACTGAGGAGCAGCTGGTGAGTTTGAACCACCAACCTTGCTATTCAAATCAACCTTGTGGTCGAGTGCTTATCCTACAGTGCCAAGCCAGGACTCCCATTTAACTGGTTTACAGAGCTTACATTCTAGTGAATAAGGTAGACAGCCATGTAATATGTTAAGTTTATTATATGTAAGGTATGTTATGAAGAAGATAAAGATGAATTAGGGAATACAGATGATTGATGGGTGCGAGCATGGTGGCTCCATACGATAAGCACTTGACTGCAAATCACAAAATCTGTGGTTCAAGTTTGCCAGTCCACTTTGGGAGACAAAGATGAGACTCTGCTCCCAGGAAGATTTAAAGCCTCGGACACCTTTTATACGGTGGCAATGAATTGGAACCAACTCGATAGCTCTTAATAACGATGATAAAAATGAATGAAACCCCAAACCCCAAACCTATGCCCTTAAGTCAATTTCAATTCTTAGCAACCCCACAGGGCAGAGTAGGGTTTCCAAGGCTGTAATCTTTAAGGAAGCAGACTGTCTCCTCTTTCTCCTGAGGAGCAGCTGGTGGGCTTCAACTGCCAATCTTTCAGTTTACAGCCAAGTATTCAGTCACTGTGTCACCAGAGTTCCTCAAAAGTGATTGAATGGGGGGTTATTTCGGAAGAACTGTCAGGTAGGGACATTCTGAAAAGTTAACATTTCAGTAGACACTTTTTAAAAAGCGGAAAATTGAAGAAAGACCATTCCAAGCAGAGGAAAAAAAGGAGAGAAAAAAAAAAAACCATAATAAATTTATTCCTGAATCCTCAAATATCAATTTCTTTTGGAAGAAATCCCCTTCAATAATACGATGCCATGAGTACTAAAGAAGTTGTGCTCAATTGTGCTGGTAACAAAATAAATTCTCTTTTCTAATTTCAAAAGAATTCATTCCCTTATGAGCTAGCTTGAGTTCCCTCATTAAATTTCCATAGGACTAAATAGAAATTTAGATGTGTAATGTTTATAAAATTATATAAATATAAAACATTGCAGATGTGTAATGTTTATCAAAATTACTATAGGAAATAGCACTCAAAATGGCTTCCAACCACATCAGACAACTAACTAATTTAATTAATGCACTTATTAATGTGGTAAGAACCTAAACCACATATTTTCTCTAGACAGCATTGTTGTTGTTGTTATGTGCCGTACAGTTGGTTCTGACTCATAGTGACCCTGTACAGGGTTTCTGAGGCTGTACATCTTTACAGGAGTAGAAAGCCTCATCTTTCTCCTGCAGAACAACTAGTAGTATCTAACTG